ACACTCCAGTCTCTGGTGAGAAAACTACATCTCTCTGAACTCAGCACCTACTGATTTACATTATTTTAGCCATTTACAGATGTCACCATTTGTGTCACTATGTCCAATTCTCACTTCTAAAATTGGGATAACACCAAAGGCAAGAATCGATTGCTATAAAACTGAAAGTACCACCAAGTGGCAGGCAGGACCCATAATATGCCCCAATTAGTAAATCATTGTTCAGAATTCACACCTTTAAGATTGTTTGTTTTACCATTATAATGCAATTTTCACACTAACATTTACAAAATTCAAGATGATTTTTGTCTGGCTTTTTTTTCCTCTAAGTGAATGGCTAGCAAAATTAAAATACATGAACTCTAACCTTGTTTCATTACAAACTAACAAAAAGACAGTTGATGCAGAGATGCTTCAGACCTAAAAGTAGAAGATACACACATCACTATGGCATTACTGCTTGCACTGGTCATACATGTGAATGACAAAAATAACACAGCAAAAAGGACAGGTATGAAGTATACAATAATTTGTATCATACAAAGCAGCCTTTACTTCCTATCTCTTCCTTAGACCAAAAGAAGATCACAAAAGTCCCTAAATCTAATAACTATTACAAAATACCAGTACAAGCTAAGGGCAACACGGAGAAGCTACCATGTAACGAACAGATTTGCAGAGTTTCAAAGTAATTTCAGGTATTGCCTTAGATGTAACTGGGCCAGGGAACACTAGTGAGCAATGCAAAGCATGCTACAGACTACAGAATTTACCTTCTTCGCAGCAGAGTAAACACACTCAAGTGGCCACAGCTCAGTTCAGAATCCAAGCTGTCCGTATGTTGCTGCTGTTAGCCAGCTAATGTAAAGCTAGTTCAGATGTATCTATCTGAAATTACCATCGAAAAAATTAGCGGGTGACTAATGAGTAGGCAGAACCCACATCTCACCGATTTCTCAGGTATTCTTCAGATGTTTCTAGTTTCCAACTGAAGTGCTTTTTCCCCCTTTTAGTTCTAATTCTGAAATATGAAAAACAGTATTCTTTACATACCATACTACTATCAGTGTTTGCAAACAAAATTCCATCCCTCACACCTGTGTAAACTTATTGACTTCAATGAATTTATCTAAGTCACAGCCACCCCTATTTTGAGCTTGGAATCCTGCTTCATCCACCAGCAGCTGTCTTCTGCTACCTTCTTCTTTCAAAATCCAAAGAAAAACCCTATCTGTTATCCAGAAACACTGTTGTGAAATAACTGTGGTCTCTAATGGAAGCTTACGCATATTCTTTACATGGTCTTAGCAAAATGGCACCATATCATTACTTTTCTGAGCAATTATGAGTCACGACACTTTCAAATAAAGACTGACTCACATGAAATTACATATAAAACAATACAGCTATCATGAACTACACTGTTCTCAAAACCTCCACTCAATTTAATCTCGTTTCTAAAGTGCAAAACCGAACAATCTTACACGGCAGCTCAGCATGCAAACTTGTTAATGATGAAGGCAATGCACTGCCAGTAGACGATGGACACATTTAATGAATGATGCACACAGTCCTGTTGGAGCAAGCAGGAACTTCATGACTGTGCTACACTACTGGTTTAAAAATAAGCTACCCTCTGCAACGGCAGGCATTTTACAGAATAATAGTTCTCTAGTAGTGGCTTTTTAGGAAGAGGGTAACTGTAAAACACCTAACAGAAACAGACAGAACTTAACTACCTCACAGATCTGCACAGTATTTACAAAGCAAACCCAGAAAATACAGCATTTCTAAGAAAATATGACTTGAGGTGGGGAGGAAATGTGTGTGTTTGGTGATTGGTTGCTTTTGAGGGTTTTTTGCCTTTTTTTTTTTTTTAAAAAAACCTTTTTGTAAGGGAACCATTAATTCACATACAATATAACGATGTGCTGCATATGGACTTAAACATGTGGTAAGTTAGCTAGTAAGGCTGCCATCCTTAACTATTAATTTCCAAAGGCATGTTTCTTAGCTAACTGTACACAATCCTTTACATACTCTGTAACTGCTATATAGTAGAGCTATGCAAGTTCAGGATAACAAAACCCAAGAACTCAAACTAGCATCAGCTGGAACATGACACACTGCAAGAATTCTAATTCCTCCCAAAGGAGAAACTTAGATTTTCAAAGATACTATAAATAATACATGTATGTTTTCACTGGTAGCCACATTTCAAATCAAAGAAGCTGCATGAATAAGACCAGGTCAACTAAAAATATTCCTTTAATAAGTATGTACCAGCAGAAACTTCCCTCTAAAATACTTAATTTTATTAGTGAAATGGTACCAAAGATAACAAGTATACAAACAATCTCTTTGCTCTATGCTACTTACACATCATAAATAAGACAGCTGTTGTTGCAAGACACAATCCTTCACAGTCTTCCTGTAAGCATACAGATTTGTCATTCATTTATCAGAATAAGCTGTTTACCAGCCAACAGCGTGTGGCTTAAACATCACAAAAATGACTGTCTATACTTTACATGGTAAAGCATTTTCTATAGTCTTAAATGTACACAGTGGCAAGAACATTAAATCCTATCGAAAATGAAGAGTGATTAAGCAGCTTCACAATCAAATGGTGTTTCATTACCTTAGGAATTGGGCAAATTTTTCATTCCCTGTAATATGCGTTCTTCCCCCGCCCCCCCCCCC